GGCTCCCTCCAGGGGATCCCCATCCCCCGCTCCTTGCGCTAGCCACCCAAGCAAATACCTCTAGCCATGGCCCGGCTCTGTCACCGCCTGGATCTCCCGGGAAACCGAGCTTTCGAAAAAAGTTGCAACAACTGTAGCCAACTGCTCCGGTGAGCTGCAGTTGCTCGCCCTGATTGGCGCCTCCCCCCGTCTCTCCAAAGGCTGCCGGTCGTGATAGGCGAAGTGGCTGAGAGAGCCCGCCCTTCTCCCCGCCTCCCCTCCGGGGGCGGGGCCAGCGGCCGGACTTTCTACAAACGCTTTCGGGACAGGTCCCGGCGGAGGAGATGGGAGGGGGTTTAAATTTGACCGTCTCCTGGCGTTGATTGGCTGAGATGGAAGGACAGTCGAGCTGCCATTGGAGGACCGCAAGCCCCTCCCTCTCCCGGTGCTGAAGCTCCCCCTCGGTTAGTTTAGTCTTGCAGCTGGAGGTCCGGGCTGAGTGGACCTGATCTGGGACTTCCGGTTCTTCTTGATGTTGACCGGAACCCGACCTTTGACCCCTGCACCTCACCTTATGACCTGGGCAATCGAGTTCGCCCAGTTTGGCATCTCCAACACCTTGGCCTCTCCAGCAATTTTGTTCATTCATTCCTAAATTTGAAAGGTTTGTGCCAGGGGCTTAGGTGCACGCCTGTAATCCCAGCTACTTAGGAGGCTGAGGCAGGAGGATGGCAAGTTCAAGTCCAGTCTGTGCAATTAAGCAAGACCTTGTCTCAAAATAAAAAATGCAAAAAGGATTGAGGATGTAGCTCAGTGGTAAAACATGCCTAAATTCAATCTCCCGCTACTGGAAAAAAAAGTAGGGGATGAGAGTGTAGCTCAGTGATAGAGCTTGTGCCTAGCATGCATAAGACCCTGGATTTCACCCCTAGCACCACAAAAATTTTAACTTTTTTTTTTAAAATCTACTTTCCCCGGTACTTTCACAAACACTTGTGGTGGGGCTGAACTGGGGATTGAACACTCAGGGACTTTGGTACCTTATCACTAAGCCACATCCTTGGCTCTTTTTACTTTTTATTTTGAGACAGGGTCTCACTAATTTGTTTAGGGCCTTGCTTCATTGCTGAGGCTGGCTTTGACCTTGCAGTCCTCCTGCCTCAGCCTATAGAATCATTGTGATTACAGTCCTGTGCCATGTACCCAGCTGCAAAACGTAATTTAAATAGTGATAAATGTTATGAGAAAAATGAAAATGGGAAATATTACCAAGTGTAAAGGGAGCCAGTTATTTTTTTTAGGTTGGTAAAATCAGAGAAGTCCTCTTTGAGTTGGTGGCTTTAAGGAAGACCCAAAGTAAAAGGTACTTCTGGGTAGATGGGATAGCAAATAAAAATGCTTAGTGGTGGTTGGGAAATAAAAGAAGCCCAGTAGGATGATTGGAGTTGAGTTCAAAATGGGGGGATAATGAAAGGGATTGGGCTGGGAAGGTGAGCAGGGGCTATATCATCTAGGTCCTTAAGACTTTGCTGGTATCTTAGCTCAAAATTCACTTTTCTCAATGCTGCTCTGTGAAATCAGGGCTACAAATCATAATTCTTGCCAGCTAGAGTTGGTTCTGTTATTAGGAGTGGAGAAGGAAGGACAAAAGGCTGGCAGAGAAGGGACTTACTCTTGGCTCACTCCCATGTCCTTACTGTACCTTACCTGCTCCCTATGTAGTGACATTCTACTCTGGCAATGGCATCTAGTTCAATCTCCAAGTTCTTTCTATACTCACAGAAACAACCTCCATGGCCAATTATGATGTGCACTCCCGTAATCCCAGTGGCTAGGTAGGCTGAGACAGGAGAATTGAGAGTTCAAAGCCAGCCTCAGCAACTGCAAGGCACTAAGCAACTCAGTGAGACCCTGTCTCTAAATAACCTCAAAATATGGCTGGGATGTGGCTCAGTGGTTGAGTGTCCCTGAGTTCAATCCCTGATACTAAAAAAAAAAAAAAAAAAGAAAGAAAGAAAGAAAAGAAAAGAAACAACCTTCATGCACACACCCCCCAGAATGCCAGCACCACCCCCCTCAGAATTCTGGGCCCTAGTTTTGTAGGCTGTGGGAGGGCCAGCAGCTACTTGGTGGCACCCCTTTCTTGGAGGCAGAAGAACCAGCTCTCCAGGGCTCCCCCTCCCACTTTACCAGCTCTGCTCACCCCACCTTGTTCTGCAGCCTTGGAGACATGGTCGCTGCTTCCTGTACTGGTGATTTATGTCACCTCAATGTTCCCCTTTTTGCTTTTTTAGTCCTCTGGCACCCGTTTTATGAATTTCCTATTTTAAACTCTTTTTCTGACTGGACCCTAACTGTCAGAGAGGCTTAATAAGAAGTTAGGGGGCTGGGGAGGTGGCTCAAGCAGTAGCGCGCTCGCCTAGCATGCGTGCGGCCCGGGTTCGATCCTCAGCAGCACCACATACCAACAAAGATGTTGTGTC